AAATATGTCCTATTAATTCAAATGTTCCCTAACATATTCAGAATGCAAAGACATTGCCTGCTTCAGAAAGCTGAAGATAGTGAGGGTGAAAAAACCGAGGTCTAACAAACCTACTTCATGTGTTATCTTTAGCATCCATTGTCCTTTTTATAGTAGGCTCAGTATCAAAGATCAGGAAAGGATGAGTGAGTTAGTAAACTTGCTTACAAAGGAAATTTCTTTGATGGGGTGAGATGGGCCATTCCCAAGATATTCTTAATTTGCTCACATTAAAAGAGACAGAAGAGTTGGAAGCTTAGAATTGAATTATTTTTCTTTTGGAGAAACAAAGCAATAGAATATTCTGTGAAATAATTGGGAATGGTCAATAGCACTTAATATCTTTTTGTTAAGTATGAGCAATTACTTGTTAATTTAATCCATATGCAAGGTGAGTTTTGTTTGGCAAATTCTGTTCACTCTCAACTGTGGACAGAAATACTATCACTTTGTTTTTTACCAAATATAATGTATTAAAATTATTTTTAAGTGTCTAAAGCACTATCAAGTCACGCAAGTCAGAGGGAAAGTGAAACTACTTCAAATAGTATTTCTAAGACTAAGGTCAAATGGCTATAACCAATAACAAGTACCTGAATTTTACCTGTCATTTTCTGATATGTGAGTGAGCACTTCTAAGGTTAATCTTTTATTTTTGCAGATTTATCATAATTTTTTTTAAAGAGGTCAAACACTGTGGCAGCTGGATTCCCAGAGCAGCTGTGCATGACAGCTCCTGATAGAATAGACCACTGTGGTTACACTTGACTACATCTTGAGCTAATAGTGCTCTAGGTATTTCCTGCAGAATGCATCCTCCTGGAACTGTGGCTTCTTTTGACCATAACTAAGCAAATAAAAGTTAAATTAAAGGGGGTAGTTTCAGCCACAGCGCCACAGTGCTCTTTCACGCGATCTCTATCAAACAAGGGGCATTGTCAGAAATAGTGTACTCTGGATTTAACAAAACTTCACAGAAACGGATTTGTCTCTGAATAGCTGGATTTCATGTTAGACATGTTGTCTTAATCATAACACACCTCTATGGTTGTAATCCTTTGGAAGTATGACTCACAGTAAGATGTGCATGAAGGTTTTACTGGACTTTTATAGGAGTTGAGGCAGGAAACAAAAGTTTGCATATTCAATGAAATGGCAGCAATATTGGAAATTGAGTTTGGGTATGAAAAACTTGTAATTTGCAACTTTAGTTATTCAAATAATGTATCCATCAGAAAATGGTGACACTTTTCATATCATTTCTGGGCTTTTTCTACAGAAATCAAATTTAAATTTAAGGCTAGGCGCAGTGGCTCATGCCTGTAATCCCAGTGCTTTGGGATGCTGAGGCGGACAGATTGCATGAGGCCAGGAGTTTACAACCAGTCTGGCCGACATGGTGAAACTCCATTTCTACTAAAAGTACAAAAATTAGCTGGGAGTGGTGGCACACACCAGCAATCCCAGCTACCCAGGAGGCTGAGGCCAAGAATCAGAAGGTGGAGGTTGCAGTGAGCCTAGATCATGCCACTGCACCCCAGCCTGGGTGACAGAGCAAGACCCTTTCTAAAAAAAAAATTAAAAGTTAAAATTAAAAATTAACAGTAAAACATTGCATTATATTTGTAATTTCCTATGGAAGTAAATTGAATTTCCTTATACAAATGCAAATGGTGAAAACTATAATCTATTCAGCCCTTCCCAGAATTATAGCTGCATAAACCCAGGTATAAATTAGTAAATGAAGCTGAGTTCAGTGGCTTATGCCTATTATCCCAACGCTTTGGGAAGCTAAGGCAGTAGGATCTCTTGAGCCTAGGAGTTTGAGACCAAACTGGACAATATAATGAGATCCCCGTCTTTACAAAAAAAAAAAATAGCTGGGTGTGGTGGCATGTGCCTGTGGTCCCAGCTACTTGGGTGGCTGGGATGGGAGGGTTGCTTGAGCCCGGGAGGTAGATGCTGCAGTAAGCTGTGATTGCACTACTTCACTCCACAGCCTAGGCCGCAGAGTGAGATCTTGTCTCAATAAATAAATAAATAAAAAGGAGAAATTAGAGAATGAGTTAGCATCATAATATAAAACGTGACTATAAATTAGATCTGTATGTCCATGGTGGTAAATAACACAATAATTAAATCATCTGTCTCCTGATGAAGAGTCTTGGCTCTGGAACCAGACTGCTTGGGTTCCAGTCCTGGCTTTTCAATTTATTAACTGCAGCTCTAGGGTAGGTTTCCTTTTTTTTTTCTTTCCTTTTTTTTACACAGGGTTTTACTCCAAAACCCAGGCTAGAGTGCAGTGGTGCAATCACGGCTCATGGCAGCCTGGACCTCCCTCGGCTCAGGCAAGCCTCCTACCTCATCCTCCTGGGTGCTGGGACTACAAGCATGTAACACCACTCCGGGCTAATTTTTAAAATTTTTATAGAAACAGGATCTTGCAATGTTGCCCAGGCTGGTCTCAAATTCCTGGGCTCAGGTGATCTGCCTGCATCTGCCTCTCTCTGTGCCCGGCCTAAGGCAGCTTTCTTAATCTCCCCTAGACTGTTTCTTTAATTGTATAATGAGAAGAGCAACAATAATGCCTCTGGTAGAAGGCTTCTGTTAGAATTTATTGACAAAACCCTTTCAGTGGTTAGTTAGCACAGTGACTGGCACATTAAATGTGGCTATTAATTACTTTATGTGTATTGTTACATATGGACGCTTGCAGCCTATCTATTGGGTATGAGCCTTGTTTCCACAGCTTGATTGCAAGTTTTGAGAGGGCAAGGACCAGCTCACATAGTCCTCTCATCACCTAGCACAATGTCTTATAAATAGGTCAGTAACAAAATTTAAAACTAAAGGGCAATTTGAATTTGAGGCTAGATTGATTATAAAGGCCCTTGATTCTCAATTTCCGTAGGCCTGCCCTAGGCCTCTCTCCTACTCTAGTATAACCAAAGTCCCCTTTGAGTTGTGGCAATGGGAGCTCTTGGCTGCTGACTACTCAATAGCATCCAATTCAATCAAGTGCTTAGAAAAGAAGTCAAAGGTCTGAGTAATGCATGAGAGTTTCCAGACAGTCATGGGATTTAGGAGCTATTTCTTTCTTAGGTATTTCTGGCTACTGGGCATGGTGTAATTTCTTTGTCTCACCTAAGTGAAATCATGTAGAATATAATTTATGTCCTCCCTCTTTAGCTCTTTTCACGGAATGGTGATGAGCTAGCTAGTATTTTTATCATCAAAGGACCGACTATCACTGTCTGAACAACTCATCTGCAACAAGCTACCATATCACCCCTGGTCAATGAACTGACTCATGCTTTTTAAAAATGCTTTCTAAGTTTTACTTCTGTTTTTCGTGTTTTTTTCTTTTTCTTACTCAACTGGGCTATTCACAAAAAGAATAAAGTTTAATACTGGTATATATTGACTTCCTCCTGCTGTTTGTGAAATGCTGAATACAGCAGCTCTAGGTTTGGCAAGGCTGGGTTTCCTTACCCAGTGGTGTGAGAGTTGCACTGTAACTTGGTGTAATCCATAGGTTGAATGCAGGGCTTTGAGAATTTAAAATATTTGCAGCTTCACAAGAAATATTTGGAAAGTTTGCATAAGGCCTAGTAAATCCACAGTTGGGAGTGAATAGAGTTTACTAAACTAAATTCACCTAGCATATGAAAATGTACATAAAACAAAATTAACAGGTAGCTGCTCATACTTAGCAAAAAGGTATTTAGTGCTTCTGGTCACTCTCAAATTATTTCACATAATATTCTACTGTTTTCTTTTTCCTAAAAAACAATTGTTTTAAGCTCCTAGCTCTTCTGTCTCTTTTAATTTGAGCAAATTAAAAGTATCTTGGGAATGGCCCATCTCACCCCATCAAAGTTTCCTTTGTAAGCAAGTTTGCTAACACTCATCCTTTCCTGCTCTTTGATACTGAGACTACTATAAAAAGGACAATGGATGCTAAAGATAACACATGAAGTAGGTTTTTTAGACCTTTTTTTCGGACCCTTGGTATCTTCAGCTTTCTGAAGGCCAGGTAGTATCTACATTCTGAATATGTTAAGGGACATATGAATCCATAGGACTATTTTAAACAGAATTGTATCGTTGTTACCCTTGTTGCTATTTCCCAAACCATTGCAGTCCTTTTTGCCAGTGACATTTTCTCATCCACAGCCAGCTCCGTCTGCAGCTCCTTTTTGTTATTTCTTCTGTTGGCTTCCATTTTAATTTAAAAAATAAATTTCTAATTTTTTAGTTCTGTTCTGTCAGTGTATACCTGCAGCTGCACACACGTTTGATTATAGCTGAATAGTGTTGTGGAAAATCTTGCAACTAGATTCCAAATTGACAGGAGGTGTAATTTACAAAGTACAAAAGTGTTCCGTTAAAGCACTGTCAGCAATAAATAAAAACAGCTTCTTGGGGGAAGGAAATAACATTGGAGAGATCTAGGCCGAAGGAGGAAACAATTTACACTGTTAGGAAGAGCCACAGCTAGGGAAGCAGCTGAGGGACAAGGACAACAGAAACACAAGAGGCTCCTGATCTCAGGCAGTCCTCCAAGGGCACCTTACAGAGGGCAGTTAGGTTGCCTTGATTTGCCAATTTCTCTCTTGAAAGATACACTGGACCTTTATTTCCCAAGGACTACTCATTCAGCATTGTTGAGCACCTAAACTGTGCTGGAGATTGCACCGCAACTGGGCTTACGAAGATGAAAAGTGCACACAGTTCCTGTCTTCAGGCACTCCCTAGAGTTTTTAAAACAGAACATCTTAAGAGGGAGTTATAAGGGGCCCCGTTGCAAAAAGAGAGCAGCAACTACAATCTTGGAAGATCCCTCAGGATGCCACAGAGGAAGTGAGCTGTAATCACAGAGAATTTCGAAAGGCTTTTGTATCTTTCGACAGTAAATGAAAAAATGAAATACATTGTCCGAAAGAGAAAGAATTGGGATGTTGGATGAGATTTTATACAGAAGAGTTAAAATATATTTAAATGGAGCAGGGACTTACAGGGATAGACAAGTAAGTCCCTTTCATTGTCAGTTAAGGGTCCAGGTTACAAACGAGTAATAACCGATCAGACTGACGAGCGCCCGCGCGCAGCGCCTCCTGCAGACGCGGCCTGGCAGCCTTCAGTTAACGCTGACAGCTGTTCAACACCACCCAGCTAGGGGCGGGAAAGTCCTCCCACTTCTGCCAGATTTTGCACACAACACAGTAGAAAGGGCACTCTTACGGCTCCCAGTCTTTTTCTCCCCTAATCGCCTGCGATTTTAGGGCTCTTCGGGGAGTATGCCTGCGAGATTTAAGAGGTTTTTTTCCTCTTTCTCTTTTGAAGAAGTGATAGAAAGCATTTAAATTAGCGGCAGGGCGGTTAACACCCGCAGCCCAGGCCTCCCTACACGCCTCGTCGCTCGTCCGTGTTCACTCCATGCCTGGCTTCGGGTAGGAGCCGCACAGCACCAACGGTCGCCGGGTCGCAACGGCTCCGAGGCGGCGCGCAGCGGGCGTTGAGTGCACGGCCTCGCCGGACCGCTCCGAGTTCAGAGGGCGCAGGGCGGGAGGCGAGGCCCAGCCGCGGGCGGCTTTTGACGAGCGGCCCTCACAGCCAATGGGAAGCCCGGTCGACTTTCCCGCCCCTGCCAATAGGGAGCAGGACCCGGGCCGGGGGGGCGCTTCCCGCAGGCTGCAGCTGGATTCGATCCTGCGCGACGGACGCGAAGGCGGGGGTGGAGGCTCGGCAGGGGCTGCGGGGAGCGGCTTATGGGAGGAGGGAAGACCGGAAGCCACGGTCGCGTCCCCATCCTTAGATTCGCTCCCTCGGGCAGGAGCGGAGACGGAGGAGAAGGGAGAGGCTGAATGTTGGCTCGGTAATAGAGGGGAGCGGCCGCTCCGGAGCCTTGTCCCAGGGCGCCCCTCTTAGTCACTCCGGGCTCCTCAGCCGCCAGGCTCCTGGCCGTGCAGTCCCCGCGGACAGCCGGGCCGCGGAGACCCTCGCTGAAGAGGCGCTGCTGGCGGCGAGGACTGCCTGGCGGCATCCGAGGCGCGCTCCCCACCGCCACCCCCACCCGCCTGCCCGCCGGTCCCTCCGGCCGCCGCCATGTCCTCCTCCTCTTCCTCCCCCAGGGAGACGTACGAGGAGGACCGGGAGTACGAGAGCCAGGCCAAGCGTCTCAAGACCGAGGAGGGGGAGATCGACTACTCGGCCGAGGAAGGCGAGAACCGCCGGGAAGCGACGCCCCGGGGCGGGGGCGATGGCGGCGGCGGCGGCCGGAGCTTCTCCCAGCCGGTAACAAAGCGCGGCCCTCCTGTCCGCCGTGCTTGGCGGTTCCCCGGGAAGCAGGGCCGGGCGGCGGGGCCTCGGCGCGGGGCCTCCCGTTCGCTTCGTTAGCCTTCTCCGCTGCGCCGACCCGATTGGGGAAGCGCCCCCTCTTCTCTTTGGGGCTTGTATTCTGGCCTCTACCTGTTTCCCGCATCCCGACTGCGAACCTGATTCTGTCCTGGCGGCAGGCCCCACCGCGAGTCCACTGCCGGGCCCTGAACTTGGGGAGGGTCGCGGCGCTGGGGCGGCTGGGAGGCGTCGCTTCCGCTCTGGGGGTTTCGGGGTGTGGAGAGCTCTTTGTTAGTTTAACTCATCGGGCTCCGGGCCAGCGTCGGGACCACCGGTTCCCTTCAGCCCCTCTACCCGCAGTCTCCGCGCGCTGGTCACCATCCCGGGATGGTTGAGTCGGCTCCACCGGGGGCTCTCTCCGCCTCGGTCCTACGGAGAGCCGTAACTAAATAACAGATTATGCCTTGGCGTTCACATGCTAGTTCCCTTGAAGGTTTAATTTAAAAAATTGTAAAATTAAACTCTTTTGACTTGCATCCTTTGCTACCCGGTTTTGTGATGATTGCTCAGTACACTTTTTACCTCTTCCGTTACAACACTTACAAAAGTGTTGGCAGCTGTTGGTACATCTCTCCCTTCAAGTAAAACAAATCTTAAAATTACTAAAGTTTTTCATTGGTAATTTATTCCAGATTTGCCCCGTGAAAGGATGAACGGAACTCAGGGCTCCATTAAACACACAATCCTAGAACCATGTCTTTCTCTTACAAGAAATGTTAGCGTGAGGCAGAAGGAATGTGATCATTTTGTCCACAGCAAGTAGTTAGCTTCAGTTGGATGGAGACTTAAAGGAAACAAAGCGGAGCAAACGTTATTGCCCTTTTTTGGTGCACTTAAGCTGTCTTAACGACTTAGATGTTTTTTAAACATTTAACACATATGAATTGTGATTAATTCTGGAAACTTTAACCGGAATTACGAAATTGTACACATATATCCTACTATTAGGTTAAAAGGCTTTTAACCTTACCTTTTAAAAATAAGACGCACATTGCCCTTTAAAGCCTTTTGAATTTTTAAATTAAAAAAAAAAAAAAAAGGCTGGTCAGTATCCCCCAGCATTACAGTTTCCAGTTACCAGGATGTGAGGGCAAACTTTGCAACACATTTAAAAAAGGAACTTTTTCTTTCTCAAAGTCTTCTTATGGTTAGCTATTAGATTTTTGTGCCTAGCTATTTGAAATATTCTAAGTGTAACTTGGAAGTGTGAACAAAGGAAATGCATTTTTTCTTAGCAGGTTTCAGTTCAAAGCCAACTCTATTGTGGAAATTGGAAACAGGAATATTGTAACTGATAGATGTATTTGATCAGTGGACCTCTTTGCTATAAATCTTGATTGGGTTTTTTGTGTAGCATTATGAAATGTCTTCAGGCATTTTGGAAAGATACTTAAATCCATATATCAAAATTTGTTTTTGAAAAAAGATAAAGCATTGAACCAATAGCATTATTTTGGATGTTGGAAAGAAAATAACATTAATGTATCAAAAGCGAAGTGTGCATTTTATTTTTATTTTTGAGAGGTTGTCAATCTATGGCCCAGGGCTGGAGTGCAGCTGCGCAATCAAGGCTCACTGTTTGCGATCCTCCTACCTCAGCCTCCCTGGTTGCTGGAACTGCAAGCCCGCACCACCACGCCGGGCCTTTTTTTTTTTTTTTCCACCCTGTATTTTGTAGAGAAGGGGTTTCACCATGTTACCCAAGCTGGTCTCTTATCTCCTGGGCTCAAGTGATCCACTTGACTCAGGCCTCTCAAAGTGTTGGGATTACAGGCGTGAACTACCTACCGCACCTGGCCTTACCATACAATTTATGTGAGCCTGAGAAAGTCAGTTTACTACTCTGAGTTCTCTAAGTCTGTAAAATAGGATGGTTGAAACACATGCCTTTTTTACCCGAAGCTGTAGTTAAGTGATTAACATAATGCTAATGCTGTTTGTAAGTTACCCAGGCAGGAACTGATATAAGCAGATTGAGGTATAAATTTTCATTTTTTGTTTATCTCAATGCTGATATGTTTCTTAGGAAAGGGTGAATTGTTTTCATTTAACAGTAAAACCATTATTGTACTATGAAATCTAATGAAGCTTTGTTTATCTTGTTTTAAAATATTTTTCATGTAATTTTTTTGGTACTATTTTGAGATCATGGCAACTGTGGAAACCTGTACACAATAACATTCTACTATTAGGATAGGCATTCTCCGGATAGAAGTGTACTGTCTTGTGTTTCTTCGTTCAGAGATTTGGTAATTCATTGTAACTGAAAAGGGTTTTACGCAACTTCAGTGGTCCCTTCAGCCCAGAGAAGAAATACCTTTGTGGTCAGACTGTTAAAAGTAAATGCAGATTAGGTACAACAATAGTATTCTTTTCAACTCGAGTTCAAAGTTTGTAAAGTGCAAAGTAAGACTTTGAAGATTTTTATTGTTTGGTTTTTATAATTAACCTTAAGTGCTTTGATAATATATTAACTAGATTTTAAAGAGGAAAATGAGTATTTAAGAAAAACATAGTGGTTCTACAAATGCTCTGAACTTTGAATGAATAATTGTGAGTGATCATTGTGTTGAAGGTATAAAGAAAAATGAGAGAGTTAGCACTTTGGATGTGAGAAATAAAACACCCTTCAAATTTGTGTCTTCTGGTACTTTTTTTTTAATAGAGCAAAAAACTCCTAGGGTTTTTCACGTTCACTGAGCTGCATTGTTGAACAAGGCTTGATTATAGAGGTTCCTGCCACATATTATACAATTACTTTTTTCTTATGGAGTAGTGTTCTTAAATTTAATAGGCATGACCTTCAAGATCATATTAATAGTAAGTTTCTGTATCTCCTTACTTTTAAGAAGGCAGCTTGACTTGGAAATGCTAAGACTTCACCTGGCAAAACCACTTGAGGAATTGGGATGGAGTGCTAATTTTTATTTTGGAGATTTAAAAAGTTTTTCTTTTTTCTGGAGTTGTGAATAAACAGGCAAATCAAAGTTTGTTAAGTGGTTTGTTTGCTGATGAAATGAAAATTTGTTTTTCAACTTTTAATAAAAAGACGTGGAAGATGGCAAAATGCCAAGATAAAATTGTAGCTCCTAGGATCTCCAAAGAAAGGATTATACAGCACATAGAGAATCCAGTTTGAATTCAAGATACACTATTCTATTGTACTTGCACGATGTAAATTATAGATGGTAGCAATATTACTGTGATCTATTGGATGCGTATGGGTTGGGAGATGGGATGAGGTCACTTAGCTCCCACTGGGGAAGTTTAGAAGACTGTGTAGTAGCTACTTCCTGGAAATAAAAGAGTTAAAGGACATGTGCCCCAGAGGTAAATGCCAGAGCCTAAGACTTGCATAGCAGTCTTGTCTTGTGTCTCCACCAGCTAAGCTGTTCTAGTAGAGTGAGGATTTTTAGGCCTAGTTTGGGGCAAGAAATGAAAAGTAGTAGGTTTTACCATCTTTTGGTTTTAACAAGTGACTGTTTCTTCATGTTAGTACTTTACAGTGAAAAGAGGTGTTCATAGAGCCAGTAGCACAGCCAGTGTCTTGGCTCTGCTGACAAGTTTTTTCACTTAACCTCTCTGGAACTCAGAGATCTCTATGATCTCTTACCTCATTTAAAAACATAATAATTGAGCTTCTACCATATATCAGGTGATGGAGCTATAACAGTGAAAAAAATTACCTGTCTAAAAATCTGATTCTACGTTGGATATTGCTTACCTCCATGAAACAGAATGCAACTTTTAGGGCTTACAGCCACAGCAACAACTCACATGAGCTTATGGAAAACAAAAAAGGGAGCGGGGTAGAGGATTTATTGACCCATGTAACTGGGAAAGCCAAATTCTGACAGTGGTTTTAGGCATGGCTGGAACCAGGGATTTAGATGATGTCATAGGGTCTTGATTCTCTTTCCATGATTGAATTCTCCTTTCCTCTGTGTAGTGCTAAGGCTAGGCTGACATTCTTACAGCTAGCAGCTAAAGAGCATCTTCTCTCTTTCTCATCCTATATTTATCCCTTCTTATCAAGTGTTTTTGATCTTCTCCTCTTCTCTCATCTAATCACCAGGCCACCCTTGAGGTTCAGGAGGCATGACTGTGTGATTGAAATACCAATGTATGATAATATGGAGTTGAGGAGGTTGTTTTTGTTTTTGTTTGCATGTTTTTATTTTTAAGCAGAAGGGGTAAGGAATTCTGGGTAGGCAAAACCAAATGATTTATATAAACAACAACAACAAAAAAGGAGTTTATTTTTAAAAGTTACTTGACTGAGGCCGGGCGCAGTGGCTCAAGCCTGTAATCCCAGCACTTTGGGAGGCCGAGGCGGGTGGATCACGAGGTCAAGAGATCGAGACCATCCTGGTCAACATGGTGAAAC